GACCACGAGGTTGGATTTGAACTGCAATGTTAAGTGATCTAGGATTCAGATGGAGTCTGATTTAAAATATTGTGGGGATATGTATTTTATTAGAGTAACACTACAGTAACAGACAAATGAAAAAAACATGGAAAAAAATTTTTCCCTCACAAAAATCCCAAATTCTATGTTCCTCTCTAGTAGCTCAGACTTTTTGCTTCCATGTCACAGTTCTGCCTTGTCAGTCCGTGGCCCAAGCAACACCAGGGCACCTGGGTGAAGCTGGAGGCCAAGGAAGGCGCATTGGGGTCACCAGCAGTCTGTCGCTGGCTGGGGCGGGCATGGCACTGACACCTCCTCACACACCCATTGGCCAGAACTCAGTCATGTGATTCAACTCCCATCAAGGGAAGGTGAGAATGTCTCCTCACTTGTGTGTTCAGGAAAGAAAAGACATGCGTTTGCTAAGTAACCTGCTGGTCCCTGCAGCCCTAAGGAGTGGAAGAAATCCCCAAATGTCTATCCCTCCTCTTCCAACGGAAGCCATGACTCCTCCATAGTCCATCTGCCTTCTGCATGCAGTTGGCATTGAGCAGAGATGTCAGGTGAGGATGGGCCTCCGTTTCCAGGGAGGGGGTGTAGGTGGTGGGACTTCCACCCAGAAGCGCTCGGGCAAGTTTCGGTATTCTAAGTCATAGTAACCATGACCTTCGAATCAACAGGCTCTGGAAGTCAACTTGATCTCAGATGACGCATCATTTTTTACTTACACGTCTATGTATATTCAATCACATTGAAATTCATTCATCTTTCCATTTCTTTCAAAAAGTGACATTGAGACAGCCTGTAAAAATGTGTACATTCCAATAAGGAAATGACAAATCCAGGGACTTGTTGATAGTAAAATTAAATGAAAGGAGAAACGAGGGTACATTTAATATACACAGGGATGTCTTTAAGCGAGGGCGAAACCAAGGGTCGTGTATAGTCTTACTGACTAGTGGCCAAGCCAGGAAGGCAGCCCCAGTATCCTGCGCTTCAGCACCTTCCGTGCTGCTCTGCCGATGGCTTTCCTGCCAAAGGTTCCCAAACCCCGGAATTATGAGAACAGAAGAGAAGAAAACACCCCTGAAGAGAAGAGTTAACATGAGGGGTGAGGTACAGCGAAGAGAAGGGGCTGAGCTGGGGGATGTATTTGCGTTAGGATGCAGTTGGCATTCTGGATAGATTTTGATCTGTGAAACCGAAGAAGGAATCGTGATGCAAGAGAAGGCAGCTTTGCCACCCAGCTCATGTCCCTGTTCGATCTGGATGCAAAACAGAAACAGCAAGTGCATTTTGGTTTTTGTGGTGTTTTTTTTTTTTGTTTGTTTGTTTTTTAAGGAGGCCTGTCTGACCCAGGACAAATAGGAAGGGAGGAGAGAAAAAAGAAGGCAAAGCTCACAGGACGCCATAAAAGGGAGCTGAGCGCTGGAGTTGACCTGGAGGGATATAAATAGCCCATCCCAGCATCCAGAATGTTTGTGGAATGTCTGAAGATAACCACAAGCATCCCATTGAAAACGGTGCACTTGCAAATCCTACCCAACGAAGAGAGGAAAGAAGCGTTCGCCCAAGAACCAAAAGGCAGAGGAGCGATGGTGTGAGTTATTCCATGTAGACTCCCATGAATATTTCAGCACCAAAATGGGGATCTAACTAAGGAAACAACAGAAACAGTTAATAATTTATGGTGTGTTCCCTGAATAAAATATTATGTAGCTATTAAAATGAGCACTGGGAACTCCATGGCAACGGGTGACATTGTTTACCATGTCATAATAAGGACAAAGGCGAGGGTCAAAGCGCTGTGTGTGCGGATGCCAGCTGTGAGAGAAACAATTGTGGGAAAAGGGACAGGAAATGGGGCCAAATATTATATATATAAGATGATGGGAAGACAAAATCTGTTATCTTATTGTTTCAATGGAATCCATGGAGGTGGAGGGGCCAAGACAACCACGCTCGCGGTCTCTCGAGGTTCCGCTTGCGAAGAAGTGGCCTGAGGGGGAGCCGTCCGGCCTCTGGGGCAACAGCGGGCGGCCTGGAGGCCCCGGGCCGGTCCACACAGTTGTCCGGCCGCCTCGCTCGACTCGCCAGCCTGGCTGTGTCCTGCTTGTCCAGGTCCGGGGGGAGCAGGGTACAGGACACAGCGGCGCTTGTGGCTGTTCTTTGAGCTTCTGGCCTCAACTTCTTTTCATGCCAGACTTAGCGATGTCCTCTGGGCCTCACTTTCCTCCTGGGTCGGTCCAGGGGGCTGGTGGGAGCACTGAGTGGGCCACAATGCTGTCCTGTTCATGAACAGGACATTTCTGGGGGATGAGCCCAGACAGGGAGCTTCTGAGAACTCCTTGAGAACTGCGGGACGCCATGGAAATGCTTCTGCCTTGTGACCTTCTTCTCCCCCATCCTCCTTCTCATGTGTTTGTCCTTTTCTCACTCTCAGTTTCTCTCCGTCTCTCACTCTCTCTCAGTCTCTGTTTCGTTTCTGTCTCCATCAATGCCCCCCACCCCCCCGCGCCCATGGGCATGGAGTGCTCAGGCCTGGATATCCTCACCTCTCGCCTCCGGAGAATACCTGCCTCCACACCTTCTGCTTGGCTCCTCTTTCAAGTCTCCTCAGTTCCTCAGAAACACCTGACAAGCCCCTGACGCGAGTGTTCTCTGTCACTGTCCTGGTCGCGACCAACCTGTAGCCTGTCTGCCCCCCCATTCAGATACACCCTTGGCTGGTGAGACTGACAGCTGTGGACACCCCTGAGGTCAGCTCTGACATTGGTGCCACTGTGAAGCAGCTTCAGGACACATCGCCAGTATTATTTTATTCGTTAAAAGAAAATATTTTTAGATTAAAAAAATAAATAAAACAAAATATTTTTAAACGGATCATTTAATAAGAATGTGCCACCCAAGGAGTTAAATAGAGCAGACAGTGTCATCACTGCCATTTTACAAACAAAGAAAGTGTTGGGGCCTCCCTGGTGGCACAAGGGGTTAAGATGCAGGACTATGAAGCTGCCCGCAGCCACTGCAGCACAAGTTCCATCCCCGGCCAGGGAGCACATGGCGCAGCAGACGTCTGCTGACTGGCCTGGCCTGCTGCTCCCCTCAGCAGTGTCTTTCATTAGATCTGCCTGTTCTGCTCCCCACTCTGACTCTGGTGAATACTCTCACCCTCCACACCTCTGGCCTGTACCCCAGTTCCTGTATGCATAAATAAATACATCTTAAAAAAAAAAAAAAAAAAACAAAGAAAGACACTGAAGCTTGGGGGTGTTACAAAATACACGTAAGATAGATGACTAAGCAAGGGCAGAGCTGGGAAGTGAGTTGAGCACGATCTCAGCTGATCCTGAACTCCCTGAAGGACGCGTGGGTGACCCTCACTATTATGGTTCTTCAGGGTAAAAATGTGAAGTCCACACCAGTGGCTGTTGAATCACCAGCTGGCTGGGCCCATCCCCAAATTTCTGAGCTTTCCGACTCAGCAGAGTTGGGGTTGGGCCCACTAATTTGCATCCCTAACAAATTCCCCGGGCAATGCTGACGCGGCTGACCCGGAGGTCGCACTTTGAGAACCATCTCTTTAAATCTTCTGAGGCACTTAATGCAGCCACGGACTGGTCATCTGTCAGGTCACTGATTCCTTCTGTGTAAATAATATTTTCAAAAACATCATTTGCCTGTTTGCAAGGGTGCTGGGCTTTCCCTGGTCTGGGTTTCCAAATTCCAAAATGCCTTTGGAAACCACTTGATGGACGGCACGGTGGGGCAGCAGTCGCCAAATGCACGGTCTTTGGGTCTTTGGCCCCGTTAATGTTTAGAGGTGCTGGGTAAGGTGGGGCTCAGTGGTGGGGCTTGGCGGCGTGGCAGAGGCACTGAAATGAGCAGAGATTTTCAGGAGACCAGAGTGAGGTGATGTGCACCTCAAATGTTAACTCCCCTTAAGAAAAAAGTCTTCACTGGCAAAATAGAAGGCTCTGGACTAGGCAAAAGGTGTTGTTTCAGGTGGTTACTCTTATTGCTCCCAAAGAGTTAAAACAAAACCACAAAGCAGAGTGTTCGTCCACAGCGGCCTGAAGGCGCCACTCAGCGCTGACTTCGGGGTGTCCGCCTTGGCCCTGCTGTTGCGCAGAACTCACAAATAAAGGGGGTGGCACAAGGAAGCTGCGGCGCGCGCCTGCTTCCCACCAGGTGCCTGGGGAGGTGCCTGTCTCTCCCCTGGTGTCCTGGATGACGGTCTTCAAGGTTGGCAGCGCGGTCCACACGCGTGGGGTGTTCGCAGGGCAAGGATGGAAGCCGAGACCAAGTATTTGGAGACAGTTGTCCAGGTCTGCTCCTCTGGCAACGGGCTGTACTCCCGTCCTGGTCATGTGCCTCTAGCCCCAGCCGGGGCCGGGAACAGCGCCGCATGCCAGGCTGCGGGGCCAGTGATGGGGTGATGGGGTACCAGGGCAGTCCCCCAAGAAAGGGAGCCTCGGGTTCCCTGCCCCGGCCACAGGAGAGTGGAGCTGAGCAGGGAGGAGAAGCTAGAAAAGACTCAGAGCTGCCATAATAATAATTATTATTTGGGAGCTGCCATAATAATAAATGTGTTATCACAAGTTTGCAAAGAAATGACATTTAATGTCCGTGGCATTTTTCTGTTACCACAGGAGTCCTGCCGACCCCCATAACCTGGTTCCAGAATACAGATCATAAACTGCCTTTCCCTCATTGGAAAATTGAAGTTGGGTGCAGCTATCCCCTCCCCACTGCCATGTCAGGTAGCAGTTATGCAGCAAAATCTCAGTTCTGAGCCAGATTGGCGCAGGCTCTAGCATTTTCTAAGGAACAGTTCTGACTTCACTTGTGGAGGACAGGCGGATCCGGCATGTGAGGAATAAAAAGGGAACAAAACCCAGCACAGGTGGTGTGAGTACCCGGAGACACGGCGGCCCATCAGGAGTGATGCAAGTGGCGGCAGCTGCCCCTTGTCTGGGCTCTGGCACGAGCACCCTCTGGATGCCTCCATGTTCTTCCGGAGAGTGCTGGGCGGAAGTAACCACACAGGCCCATCTCTCCTTGGAAGAGTGTGTCGAGCTGGTGCCGGGGGAACCTCCTGGTAAACTGGAACGGAGGCTGATCGTGGAGGCGGCTTTGCAAGCGCTGTTCGCTGGGGCTGACTGCGGGGCAGGTGAGGTTCAAGGGAAGCCTTTGGGCTTCTCGTAGAGTCTTTTCTGTGCCTTTAAATCGCCTTGGGTATGCAAAGTGAGTAATAAGTATTTATAGACCTTTGCTTAGTTTGAGGGAGGAGAAATTTTTGGACATTTTGGATGAAATGAAGGCATTTCTTAAAAGGAAGAGGAGCAATATGTTGGGAAAATGTGTGCTGTGCTGGGATGTGGTGGGGCAGCCAGGGAGCTGTGGTCCGGCGTCCTGACCAGCCAGACGCCTCCTTCCCTGCAGAAGAACCCCTGCACCGCTCAGCTGGGCCCAACTGTACAGTCTGTGGACCTTAGGGGGCCACAGAGACTAAGGTCAGGAAACACCTTTGTTCTCAGAGCATCTCTCATTGTGGCTCCCGCGTCGTCACCGTGAGCCCTCATCTCCCTCGGCCACAGGCCCGGGGCCCTTCAGTGTCTGTCACTGAGGAGCAACTGACTAGAGATCATCCTAGAAATGGTGCGCAAATCACTCAGAATGACAGAAACATGAACAAACACTGTTTATGAGGATTTCATGATACATTTCATTTTTGAAAAGAAATTCATGAGGACTCCGAATATGCCAAGAGATGAGATCCATGGACTGGCAATACACACACACACACACCCAACACACCCCAGGAAGGCGAGGGTGCAGCATGAGATACAATGGGTATCTCAGGGAGACAAGAGCTTGGAACTGGATTTCCACGTCTTTCTGGTAACACTGTAGTAACACTCTTGCTTGATTATATGTTGTTTTGCTAACGTTAACCATGTTCACTAAACAAAACATAAACTTTCCAGAAACTGTGCTTTTAATGAAAACATACTCATATGTTAAAATTTCATTTCTAGTTTGGTAAAGACACAGATCATTATTTCATAAGCTAGGTAGGACAGCCATGAATGTTTATTTCATTATTCTGTAATAAAATAGGATTATCCCTTAAACCACACAAAAACATTACATGTACTCATGTGTATCTCCAGCCTCTCTCTCTCTCTCTCTCTCCCCCCCTCCACCTACCTACCTACCTACCTACCTATACTCTTGCTTAGTATAGAAAATGTACACAGCATGAGTTCTGAGAAGAAATGGACTCAAATCTTATTTTTCTTTTTTTTTAAGATTTATATATGCATATAAGAACTGGGGTACAGGCCAGAGGTGTTGGGGGGGGGAGAGGATTCACTAGAGACAGAGTTGGGAACAGAACAGGTGGATTTACTGAAATACACTGCTGAGGGGAGCAGTGGGTGAGACTGGAGAGGTCTGCTGTGCTGTATGGGTATCTCCCTGACCGGGGATCGAACTCATGCTGCAGAGGCTATGGATAGCTTCATAGGTTGTGTCTTAACCCCTTGCACCACCAGGGAGGCCCCCGAAATCTTATTTCTACTGGGCAGGTGGAGATGTAGCAATTTAGTCCACTCTCTCAAACGCAGACCATAGTTCTGAGCCTGAATTTCAGGAGGAATTGGCCAGACTCCAATGTCAGGTCTATTACAATTGGGATTTAGGGGAATTTGAATAAGTTGAGCAAAATTAATATGAATCCATATACCCAAAATACACAGGCAGACAATAACCTCTCAGTTGTGATCATTCACTCCTCTACTAATTCATGCAGTGAATCATTTCTTGGTGAATACTCTTTTGGGGTACTATGCTGTCTTGGTAAGGCAGAGCCCCTGGCCCCTGGAGCTGGTGGGAGGCAGGCACTAACACACACAGATCCTCCTGCTGGAGGTGCACACGAGGTGTCAGAAGGCCCTGGAGGGGGCGTGTGGTATGGAACAAGGAAGCTGCTCTAAGATGACATTTGAGCTGAACATCATAGATGCGGAGAAATTAGCAGGGCAGACATAGGTAGGAGCAGTATATTTATGACAGGAAATGCCTGTGCCATGGGACTCAGTGGTCAAAGCCATGCCATGCAGCCCTCAGCAAAACACCAGCAGCCAGAGCTGCTCTCTGTAGCATTCGTTTCTACTTGCTCGTGCACACAGGCGGGGGGGGACACTCGTCTGCATGGGGTCCAGCCCCACGGACTGCCGCCCCAGACTTCTGTTTGCTTTGTTCCTTTGTGTCTTCTCCAGCTCTGCCAACAACCTACGTGATCCTCATTAAAGGTCATGCTGAAGAAACTCACATTTAATGACTGACGATCCAGGTGACTGAGGTAAGTGTTTGGGGAGTTTACACGGAAAGGAAGAAAGAAAAGCAGGACAATGTCCCCTCCCAGGGGGCCCAGTTGAAGCCCTGATGAAGTGCAGCTTGTTCTGGTTTGCAAAGTCAGAAACTTTGACCATCCTCAGCCTGCAATTCCACGAGAAGGCCCAGCCGAGCGTTTGCTGAATCTGTGTTTAGTATGTGGCAACACATGGCTCCGAATTGTAAAATATTTCAGTGCTGGGGCGATTGAGCAACAGAAAGTGCTTCCACATGGCTGGGGAAAGGCGCGGCAGGCAGAGCTCTGGACTATGTCTGGACTCGGGGTGCTCAGGCTCTGTTGTGTTTTTTCTGTTATGGCTCGTACCAGCAGCCTCGGAGTGTATCCCAGTCAGAGAGGGGGAGACAAGATCTGATTTCACTTGAACCAAGTCCAGCATCCTGCTTGTGAAACCCAGAGAGGGACAGACCCCCAAACTTCCTGCTGTCTTTGAACCATTTTCGCGGAAAAGGCATCAAACCCCCACTTACCCTTGGCAGACCAGGGATCCGAGATTTAGAAATTATGCTCAAATTCCATTGTCATCTAAAGAAAAGGAATAAAAATGACCGTGAAAGTTCCTTGCTCTTATGTTTCGGTCAGTTCCAGTTGCTGTGACCAAGTGTCATACACAGAACAGCTTATAAAGCACAGAGTGTATTTCTGTCAGTTCCAGAGGCAGAAGTTGGCCCTGGAGGGGTTGGGTTATGGCGAGGGGCCTTTTCTAGGATGCTGACTTCCCCTGATGTCTTTCCAAAGCAGAGAGAGGAAGAGAGAAATCTCTAGGGTTCATTTTACATGGCACTAATCTCACTCCCGAGGGCCCCACCCTCCCACCTGGTCACCTACCAAAGGACCCCTTCCTAATGCCATCACACGGTGATGAGGTGAAGTCCAACATAAAACTTCCCGGGGAACGCAAGTATTAAGCTCATAGTATGTTATTATTTTAAGTTTGCATTTATAGAACATTTCCTATTAATTAGGCTCAATATGTCATTCATTTATTTTTCTTTTTATTGGGGTAACAGTAATTTATAGCACTCTATAGGCTTTAGGGACAGTCTGTCACCTCAGCAAATGTATATAGCATTCCACACCCACTACCCAGTCATATCCACCACCAACCACTCTATCCCTCCACCTGATCTACTCCCACTGATTTTCTCCCAGTAACCACATTCTGGTGTCATAGTCTAAGGATTTGTTTTGGTTTGGCTTTGGCTAGTCTTTTACTTTGCTTCTTTATATTCCACAGATTAATAAAATCATAGTCTCTGTCCTTCTCCTTCTGACTTATTTCATATAGCATATCCCCCACAAGTTTCATCCATGTTGTCATAAATGCCAAGAAAACACCTTTTTCATGGCTGAGTAGTACTCCATCACAAATGTATATATACCACATCTTCTTTATCCACTCATCTGCTCTTGAGCAAATAAATATTTTTTAAGAAGGAGACAAACAAATGAATGGAGAGAAAACACACACTTAGTCATAGGAATGATCTACAGAAAATCATTGTCTCCTGAAAGGGTTTCCTATCTGTCAGAATCTGAAGTATACTTCTGTCAGCACTGAAGTGTAAAGAGATCCTTGGTTGTAAAGGAATGTAGAGAGGCACTCATAGGTTATCCACACAATGAGTCTAACTACCCATCCAATAAAAGAACTGGGGGAGAACTTTCAAGTCAGATTCCTCCTTTACTGACCCCACCTGATGGTGCAATGGGCGGATGTGATGCTGAAAGACAACATATACAACTGAGCCCAGAAGAGACTTCCTTCTGCCTCCATGGGACATGTAGCTCACTCCCCCGAGAAACGCGGTTGAAGAGGTGGACGTAGGACAGAGGCATCGGCCATCAAGGACTTGGATGGTGTAGGTGACAGCAGCCTTACAGTCAAGTGCACGAGCTTTGAGTCTCAGCGCTGCCACAATCGGCTATTTAGCTCTGGCAAGTTGCTTAATTCCTTGAGGTACCATTTCCCCATTTATAGCTTCGGGGATTTTTATAAAAATTAATTGAACAAATGTCTGTGATTAGTACTGTGGTTGGCTCACGATTTCAAGATTGAAGAAGTCAACTGCTGACTGCCTATTGGATAAAGTTCTGGACTGACAGAGAAAGAACGCTGGACCCAGGGGGAAGAAAATCAAAATAAAGAGACAAAGTCCATGTTGGAGAAGGTGACATAGAGTTTTAGCAAGAGTGGGCTTTCCATCCTGACCTCCAGCAGTAGTGAGACTCACTCAGCCTCTCACTATCAGCCCTGCTACCGCCTACCCCTAGGAGTCTATCCCCCCTGCAGGCATGTGGAGCTGGACAGAAAGGAAGGAAGAAGAGGCTGAGCATTCTCAGCTCCTTTGAAACTGCCAGTGGGAGAAACACTCATGCGGGGTGCTGTGGGGAGAGTGAGGGTTCCAAAGAGGAAGGAAGAGCTTCATCTCTACCTTAACAGATGTTGTAGCCTGGAGAGGGAGAGGCTGCTGTGAGAATTAAGTAAATAATTATGATAGGTGCTAATACATTTTAATAATGCACTTTCAAATGTCTCATGAGATCTGGAGTAGAATTATCAACTATAAGATCACTTATATGGAAGAAAACCCCCCAGCCTGGCTTTTCCAAAGCCCAGACAGAGGCAGGCAAGAGGGGAGGTGTTTCTCTGTTTGGACCTTATACTTCCAGCTTTTGTTTTTTATTCTTTTCTTTTCTCCAACAGGAGTAGAACTTATGCCTGTTGTTTTCACAGAACCTATCTCAGAATTTTGCATTTCAAAGGTGTGAATTAGAAATAGCATCAGATCTAAAATGACAGGTTTTGTTTTTGTTTGTTTTTTAAAGATTTATTTATTTATGCATACAAGAGCTGGGGTGTAGGCTAGAGGTGTGGGGGACGCGGTGAGAGGATTCACCAGAGGCCAAGTGGGGAGCAGAACAGGCAGATTGACTGAAATCCACTGCTGAGGGGAGCAGCAGGGAGAGAGGAGAGGTCTGCTGAGCCATGTGGATTAGCTCCCTGGCCAGGGATTGAACTCATGTTGCAGTGGCTGCAGAAAGCTTCATAGCGCTGACACTAAACCACTAGGCCACCTGGGAGGCCCTAAAAGGAGAGGTTTTGAATGTCAGTGTTGGACTTGAGATGTGCCCTAGCAGGCTTTGACAATGACCCATCTGCATGTAAAACCATTCAGCAACTTCCCTTTCAAAGTTCAACTGGCTGATAGTTTCCCTCTCCTAGGGTGCGGGCATTTTAATTCATTGAAAGAACCATCACATCAAGAAAGCTGTTTTAATTCACGTTAGACCTGGCTTCCCTGGTGGGTGGTGGGGGTGGGGGGCGAAGTGGGGGGTGCTGGGAGGAGCACTTGGTGGCAATATGCAGCAAGGTTGGTAGATTTGTTTGGAGGATCTTAATTCACTTAACCACCAAAACATGGTCTTATTGTCCCCATCCCTAAGTCTTGGTCAGACCAACAAGTTAGAAACAAAAAGGAAATACTTGCTCCTATTTTAACTACTGCTCTCAAAATGTGGCAATAAGGCAAAAAATACAGATAGGAGCTAGGCTGGAGTGGAAGCTGGGTTCTTTTTAGCTGCGTCTGCGGGTGTGGAAGGCATGGTGCAATCTATTTTCTCTCCCAGAACATTAGATCAAAATATCCAGTCGGTGGGACAAGCATATGGGCTGACAGGCTGCCTTTGCTCAATAGCATGTCTTTACAAGTGCTCGTGAGGCAGACCCTGCTGGAAACTGTCGCCACGACAGAGCGTGGAAGGAGAAGGATTCTGGGGTGACTATTCACCCCCATCCTCTCGTTGGAGACCTTGTTATGTTGCAACTGGGCAGGTGAAAGCATGGTGGTTAGGATCTCAGTGAGGGGAAAAAAAAAAAAAAAACACTTGAACAAAATGAAAATAGCGCCATCTTTTCAAAGCACAAATTTGAAAAGGGTCTTAGGATTCATCACCTTCGCCATGACCCTAGGCTTGAGCACGGAGGATGCTCCCGGGATGTGAAGGGACTGAAGGTCCTAGGCTCTGGGCTTTATCACTCACGCCCTGGAACTTGAGTTCCTCCCTGGAGATGGCTGTGTGATGGGGGTAAGTCACTGACCTTCTCTGATCCTCACGTCTTCGCTGCACAATGTCCCAAAAAGACACTGGGACAAGACATTGGGGAGCTCGAGCTACCCATGCAGGGACGATGGAGGAAATGCTGGGCAGGGCACCATCACCCACAGCACGCGGCAGACACCGATCCCTTCACCACACACGCAGGGCATCCCTGTGAGATGTGCACACTTATCATGAGCGTGTGCTGTCAGCTTCTCCTGGTGGACAATGCATGGAGACTTTTCTAACAGCTGCCTCAGAGCAGCTGAATGGCAGTGTCCAAAATCTCTGATTCATCAGCCAGTTTTGAATATTCTTTTTCTCCAGAAACAAAGGCGAATCTGGAATGTGATTAATGCTCAGCAGAAAAACCCCAAGAAAGAAGGGAGGACGGAGCGGTTCACTTTATCAGGAACACTGACTTTGCTTTGTTTTCAAAACCAGGAAGTAAAAAGCCTATAAAATAGATATCGTCACCAATCTCTCTGAAAATTACGTGAGCTTTTGAACAGAGGGATGCCTCACTCCGGCTTCATGAAGGCCTCTATCTAAAGCAATGAAAATCAGCACTTTTTTTAGAAAAGAAAAAACCCTCCGAGAATCGTAGGTGTATGTATAATTTCTTAAAACCTGCCAGTACCTTGTCACGAAAGGATTAAAAAATGCCACCACTGGCAATGGGAAATGTGCTGAGATAGAAGTGAGTTGCTTGGCAACAGGTTAACTCAGTTAAACTTTTACTGTAGCTTTGACAAAGAGGCTGCAGAGGCAAATGTGAAGGCAGCAGGAAAATCCTCAGGATCAGAAACTCAGGAGACCCTCCAAAGTCGAGGAGCACTTGCCTGTTTGCTAAAGTAGGAATTCACAATCCGCACTTCCCAAGGCCCTGAATGGCACTTTTCCTGTTAAATTTTGCCAACAGGAGGTGCTGGCAGACAGCTCCAGGCTGGGCAAGAAGAAGGGCTCCTCTCCTGACTGTGTACTTGTTAGGAGGAGCTGGCCATGAGCTCGAAGGTTCTATAGAGCAGGAGAAGTAGCGCCCGTCTGTGGCCCCAGCCTGGCCCAAGGAAGCCCTTAGGTAGGTGAGGCCTGGCTGGAATTCCAGAGGCTCAGCCGCAGGTGTAGCAGTAACTCTCGCTCAGAGTGTTAGCATGTTCTGATCGCAGGGAAAGACTTTTCTTCCTGCCAGCTCCTGCCACTCCCTTTAGCTTCTCCTCTGTTCTCCTGTCTTTGTAATACCCTCCATGTATGAAATTTTCCTTATAGGAAACCCCTAAAGTGGTTTCTGAATGCATATTGACTGATAGAATCTAACAGGCATTTCCCTACTCCCTGAGTAGACTTAAATTGCAGAACAATATGCTATGGACAAAATTAGAAATAAGAATATGAACCAAACTAGGAAGATTATTGTGACAGATAATTTAAATCTGCAGATAGATGGAAAGATAGATAGTCAGATGATAGATGTATGTATATATGGATGGATAAATAGGTAAATAATAGTTCAATGTTAGCTCAACAATAGCTAGCTCTAGCTAGTAGATAGATGGAGACAGATGAAAGTATAAAATCTTACCTTAAAGATCTTTCCATGATTAAAAAAGAAGATTCTAATTCAAAAAAACCCAGAGGATATTGATGATTCAAGGGCTATTGAAGAAATGGAGATGTGAGTAAATTAAAGTAATGCATTCATGAGAATTGCTGTATGTTTAAAAACTTACATATACACACACACACACACACACACACACAAGTCAACAATTCCACAGTCAAATGGTATTGTCATAATTTAGGCAACTGTTAGACAGTTCTCTAAGGTCAGAAAAATAATTTATCACAACATATTGAACTGCCATCATTTTTTTTTTTATAAAAATCAACACGAGGGAGGAGCACAGTGGAGAGATTCCTTCTGGAGTCACAAAGGTGTGAAGTGAAATCCATGTCCTGTTATTTACCAGATGGGGGATCTTGAAAAAGAGCACCGCTCCTCACTGTGTCTGGACGAGATAGTGAGAACAGATCAGCAGAGGCCAAGTTCAACTTCTGCATTTGGGGGGCCATTTCACCCCAGGGCTGTGGTGGGAGGTGCTTTACCCAAGCCTCTCCCACCCCCAGGTTCAGTGCTGGTCAAACACGCCTAGCTGCTTATTTGTCGTGTGTTAAAGATTTTTTTCAGAGGGAACCGGGACTCAGAGCCAGGAGCAGTTCCTTACCTGTCTGAAGGGCGGTTGATCAGAACCGGTAACTCCGCCTTAAGGGCATCCTCTGGGGAACCCCATTTCAGCCCGTACCTCTGCCCCAGACCCACCAACCTCGCCAGCCCACTGGGCTTGCTTAAATTCACTTCCCTGTGCTCCTCGGCCACAGTCTCCTACGTTCTCCTTCCTTCTTGTCCACCATCAACTCCTAATCTACTCCCCCAGGCCGGCTCAGCTGGCCTGTTCTCAGTACAGGTGCCTGTCCTGTGTCTCCCCACTTTCTTATAAGGACACTGACCCTATCAGATGAGAGCCCCAACCAAGACCACCTGATTTAAACCCAGTTACCTCCTTGAAGACCCTTTCTCCAAATTCAGTCACATTGGGGCTGAGGACTCCAACATAGGGGTTGGGAGGGTGCACGAGGCAGTGCACTGCAGAGCAGGCCCCTTAAATTGGAAGAGGATGTGGGCTGGCTACTAGACACCTTTGCTCTGCAGGAGACGCCTGTCCAGGGGCTCTGGAGAAACTCTCAGTAGAGACACAGACAGGACAGGTCACTTGAGAGCAGCTAACATGAGTGATCCGGGATGCGACCCTCAGCGACGTGGAAATCCCCTTTGTATCTTTCCTTCCAGGGAGCGGTCAGGCACAGCATCAGCTTGGCCACTAGCCCCTGCAGCTCTGCGTTTGTTTCCTGGGCACTAGGGAGCTCCCAGTAACTGGGGAGCATGCAGAAGCTGCCCTGTCCTCAGGGCTGTGGACGGGGATCGTGTGTAATATTCCCCGCCATTGTTTCCACAATAGCTTGGGCACGCGTAACCCATCTCTCTGCAGTTGAGTGTGTTTTCTTAGTTGACTCTCGAATCCACACTCATATTTTGCATGTGGGTTGGCTTTATTCTCAGTGGCATTGTGAGAGGCCGCCAGCTACTGGTTCCTTTGTGGGAAGTGTCCTATGTCCTCAAGCTTCTTTCGTGACCCTTTGCCCTTTTGATGCGCACAACTAGGAAGCATTAAAATAGCTCATTAAAGGTTTTCTCCTCTTTCCATGAGGGTTACAGTTGAAAACTATTGAATCGAGCTCCCTGGCTGCTCAGAAATTGCCCCCTCCTCCTGGCATAGCTGCCCAGGGGGGGCCCAACTCTTTCCAAGAGGCATGCTGATTTATAAGCTCACCCCAAGAGTTAAACTAGACAAAGTGAGCCCAAACACAATAAGACAGCCCATTAGAAACATTTTCTGGGCTTATATCTTACTGGCTTTTATCATAAATTAGAGATTTTGAAGAGAATGAGTCATAGAGAAAAAAAAATAATAACCTGTTTGGCAATCAGCATATTATATCTCCCTGATGACTCACAACACCACACTCAAGTCAGGACAAACAGAGTTCCTGTCAGAAAGAAGTATAGTTAAAAATAAAAGCAAAAATAAGAAGGGGGGACTCTTTTTAACTGTACCTAGAACTCTCCCCGCCCTGGATTCCCTAATGAGAGGTTGGAAGGATGAAGGAATTGAAAAGCTTGAGTCACAAGTCAGGAGGAAGCAGCAGCCCCCAAGAAGCCAAGACAAATGGAATTTTGAATATAATCCTCCAGGGGAAGCAAGCAGTGTTGTCCTTTATATATGACGTGGGGGGGCGTGGAGGTGCACGATTATGCTTCCCCCTGGAACCCAGCACTGCTGATAGAGCACAGGTTTTGGAGTGAAAGAAACTTAGATCTTCATGTTGGCTCCGCCAGAGTCAGCTGGGCAATCTTAGCAGCTCAGGGTCACTTAAGTCCTGCGGTTCTCAGAATTCACACTTGCAGAATGAGGACAACAGGTGCACAACACAGCCTTTGAGAAGCTGAACTGATCGTCAGTGAAACCCTTTGCTTGTTCTGTCAGTTTACAGCTGGAACAAAAGCAATTCTTTGTCTTAAACCAATGAATGAAAAAAAATCGGGGTAGACGTTGTCCCAAATGAATAGATTCAGGTAAGTGTCCTTGAGCACACTGCCTAGCGCCTGTTCTAGAAGATGGGCTAAAGCTGGGTTTGCTGTGGCTGGGGTACCTTTGAACAGCTGTAACAGCAGATGAGGTTAAGGGGCCAAAATGCCCTCTTGGCGAAGAAGAGAAATTGTGAGACAAAACTGAACACGTCATAATTTATTAGAGACAGAAAGACATCTTAAGTGGCGATATTTGAATAATTTGTATGCAAACAAAGAAATCAGAGGCAGTTAAGATGACTTTGGAAACAGGATGAAAGATGATGGGGAATTCTGGGAAAAACAGCATGACAAAAAGTGTGATCACAAAACTCTCAACCCCCAGTCTAACAAAATAAACAAACGAAAAAAGAAAAAACTTTTAAAAATCAGTTCTCCAAGAGGCTAAAAATATACACGGAGCCTAGTTTATTATTATTATTCATTTTATTATTATTATTCATTTTGAAGAAGATAATTTAGAAACCAGAATGAAGAAGGAATCTAGAAAATAATAAACAAATAGCTGTGTATTCCTTAAGAAGCGATTGAGGGCCCTGGAGGACATCTCTAGGCAAAATTCTGCAAGGCTTGAGAGCTTGCAACTTGGAAGCCCCCCTGGGTCACTGTGTGATGGGCCCACTCCAAAATAGAGGACCCTTCCCAACACCAAAGATGGGAAATTTCCCAAAGAAGGGAAACATTAGTGCTCATCAATTTCCCCAAGCAGAGAAGAAGTGTAAAGAGATTGATCACAGCTAACTACACCCACTAATAAACAACCACCAAATAAGGCAAAACCTTGACAGGCATTGTCATCCTTCGAGAAAGGAAGTAGCTTGGAAAGCAGTAGAACCATGAACTTGAGGTTGTTTTTCCCTACAGAACCTTGTTGAAACAATCGGTTTCACTCATTTTCCGTTCCTCTGGCTGGAAGGGGCTTGGGCTGGTGGCGAGGGGTAGTGGTAAGGCGAGCACAGGCGGAGGGTGGTATAAAGCTGTTCTGTCAAGCTATGCATACATTAGGAGAACAATCCAATGGCAACATGATTTACCTGCCCAGAAAAGAAGGCTACACCCTGAAGTAGGATGCTGCTGAGCAGGAGTTATCCGCCAATCTAAATAGTCACCTCTGCATCTGAGGTTCCTTACAAAGACAGAAATCTATGTGCACAGACACCCTAAAAAGCTAGTCTAGGATCACCCAAGTTAATTTGCAAAAGTAGGGAAAGAAGTGAAGTATCAATCACCACTCTGCAATGAGTAAACATACTTTAGAGAAAAGGAAAACATTTGATTGCAGCTGAAAACTAAGGCGTGATATGGGAGGGGATTGAGAGACTCACAACGGTCGTCAATGGCAAGAACAGTGGGCAACCACCGACAAGGCAGAAGGATCAGAAGTTAAACTTCAAAGAAGCGACCCATGGAGATGTTTCCTTGAAGTGGAGAAGAGAGGGCGATGGCATAGAAACGGGACTGTCAGAGACAGAGGAACATTGGCTGAAATGGAATTTCGCTAAGTCCTCAGCTACGAGAACAATCCACATCCAGGGAATAGTAGAATATTAGTGACTTCCTGATGTGACTCTGGGCTGCAGCCTCACTCCCAGTAGCAGGTATGTGACTTTGGACAGGTGTCTCAGGTTAAGTCCTAGTCTACAAAAAGGGCATATTAAAAATACCAGCTTCATAGTTGGCTGTGAGCAAGAATATTCATTTTAATTATTAGCTACTGCTTAGAACTTGACAAAGTTCCAGAATATTAGGGAACAAGAAAGAATCCTATAGAGGAAAAAACTTGCACTGCCTTTAGACATCTATGCAGCTTTATTTAATGTTAGGAGCAGAGCAGGAATATGGAGGCATAAGGGGTGGGAAAACATATGACCCAAGAATGTTATAGACAATCTGATATCATTAAGGTATTAAGAAAATCAAAGACATTGTGAAAAATGCTAGGATACAAAGGCAAACCTCTCAAAAAAGCTCATGAAGGAAAGCAAGCAACTTACAAAGTAAATTAAAATAAATCAAACTAACAAAATAGACGTGGTATAAAAGGACTGGCACTTGACTATAAATCTAAGGTGAACCGTTTGAGGTACTTACGGTTACCTAAACTGTACATTATATCATAAAATTTAGAAGCAATGGAATTCTTCAGTAAGAAAAAAATATATATACCTACAATGGACCATGAAAAAATAATGTAAAGCAAATATCAGGAAGTAAAAGAGAGGGTGTTGGACTGGCATTTCCTTTTGCCCCTGTGATCAAGATGTTTTCGGTTTATGGGCAAAGTTTATTTTTGGATGAAGAAAGAGCAGAGGAACCAACAAAGGGCAAAACCTTCCCAAATTGTGAGTAAAGAGTGCAAATTAAGAATAAAGACAGGGTCTCCCTGGTGGCCTAAGGGGTTAAGTCTCAGCACTAGGAAGATATCTGTAGCCTCTGGAGCATGAGTTCAATCCCTGGCGGACCAGGGAGCTATGGTGCAGCAGACCTCTTCTGTCTCGCCACTACTTCCCTCAGCAGTGTACTTCAGTCAGTCTGCCTGTTCTGTTCCCTGCTCTGTCTCTGGTGAATCCTCTCACACCATACCCATACCTCTAAATAACACTGAGGGCTATACATTCAAAAGGTGAATTTATAGTGTGTACATTTATATCTCAATAAAGTTATTTTTTTTCAAGAGTTTTTTTTTACATAATCTGAATGAGTGAACCCAAAATTCACATGATAAGTTAAATAGCCATGGATATTAATCTATATTTGAAAAAAATAAAGTGGAAAGACTTGCTCTAAAACAATTAACGATTTATCATATTTATTCAATAAGTCAAAATAGCAGCATATTACAGTGTAATAGAGTCTGGAGACAGATTGGCACATGCATGGAAACTTGTCAAGGGAGTGGTCAATTTAAATGAGAAAGGGAAAGAAATATCTAAGTATTGGTACTGCAAAATATATTCTTCTAGGAAAAAAATTATATTTCCACCCAAATCCAAAAGAAATAAATATACTTCAGATAATTAAAACCAACTACACCCCTAACCTTAAAACCGCTAGAGAAAAAGAACATAAATTAACATTATGACCTTGGCATTTGCGATGAAGAATTTCTTATATAAAACACAATGACTATAGCTTGTAATGAGTGATACTGATAAAATGAACTTAAAGTAGAAATTCTGTATAAGACAACACAGCTTATTTTTATAAATCCACAAAATGATATAAGTGTTTGGCTTTCATAAAATCAATATATGATTGAAAATTGATAGTTAAGATATTACCAAAAGCAGTATTAAAAAGATAACTTCATGTTGTCTGGGTTACGTGTAGTCATTTAAATCAATGAGCCACATGGGGACTGTGGTCCCCAAGACTTTACCACATGGTGTAGGTGTGGAGAGGACTGTGTCACGTTGGTTTGTATAATTGCAACCTAGAATCTTATCCTGTTGTTAAGTGATGCAGGCCCATATGAACCACACGATCCTGATCCATTCATCCAGTGAGAAACCTGGGTTGCTTCCATATCTTGGTTATTGTAAATAATGCTGCAATGAACACGGGGGTGCAGGTATTTCAATTTAGCATTTTCATTTTCTTTGGATAATATCCAGAAATGATTGCTGGATAATATGGTAATTTTGTTATTAATTTTTTGATGAATTGCCATCATGCTCTCCATGATGACTGCTCCCATTTACACTCTCACCAACAATGCATCAGGGTCTCAATACAAAAATAATTTTCAGGAAAGGAGATAGGAATTATTAATGATAATGTGAAAAGTTGTTAAACCTTTTGTTAGGGAGCAAAATTTAAAATAAAACAAGAGAAGTTGCACAGCGATCCAATAGTTTTAAGTGTCATAACACCAAGTCGTGGTGTGAGTGTGAATGACTCCATCACGTTAGACAGCAATCAGCTAAGGAGTATGCCGAGCAAGCCCTTAGCGTTCAGCTGAGTGTCCTAGAGAAACTCTTGCATTTGCACCCAAACAACCATATAAACATCATCATTACACTTTGATTAATAATAAAATATGCTAGACATAGTCTAGTTGCTCATCATTACAAAACTTATGGTGGACGAATAAAATATAGAGTAATTCCATTGTAAGATATACTCTCCTCAGTTAAAATGAAACTAGTAATATATTAATGTTGATTAATGTATTGGCATAAAAGCTGTTTTTTTAATTCTTGTGTAATGCATCTACTTTAAGATGTGTCGTCTCAACATCTCTGTTAAGGATTGGGACATCTCTTTTTTGCTGGTTTTGGAAATTTGTGGGTTATTTATTTTTTATTTTGGGGTCTTCAATGGCTGTGCTGGGAATTTATTAATTTTATTAATCTCCACAAGTGTGATTTTTATGTTGTATCTTTTTTTTCTATTTTTTTTCTGTTTTCTATTTCATTGAGTTCTGATCTGATTTTTATTATTTTCCTTCTACTCTTATTAACTTTAGTTATACTTAGTGAGAGAAATAGGAAAAGTGTTTATTCCATCTTCTTTCAAATCACAGAACATGCATTTGGAAAAAAATGGAGAAAAGTCTTGATGTAAGACCAGCAATTAAAAAATCTGCTTAATATCACATCCTCTAAAACTGCTCATTAAAATCACAATTAGAAACCTCTATGTGAAAGACTGAATCTTTAAACAGAAGAGAAAAAGGATAAATAAAGCAACAACAACAACAACAAAACACAACCAAAAACCTATCACGACCTAACAGAAGGAATATGAATTTGCAGGATTAATTCAGAAAAGTTGTTGGTAGGATCACCTACGATTAAACATATGTAAATCCTATAATTGAGCAATTTCACTTTAAGGAATATGCCCCTAAGAAAGGCTCACACATCTACATCCAAAGGCACAGGAGCCTTCTTAAGGGCATTTTTCATCATAGCTCCAAAATATCAACAACACAATTGTAATTCACACAATTAGTCACTATGCCTGATGACAGTTTTAACTGTGACTGCAGGCGACATTGCTTTACAGACAGAATGCAGAGTGAGAGCCCTAGCACACAGGAGTACATGGCATATGATCTCATCAACGTCAGCTTCCCAAAAGAGACAAACTATGAACATTGCAGCAGGAAAAGAGGTTACTTTGAGAGAAGAAGCATAATAACCAAAAGTGGTAGGAAGGGCAGGTCCCCAGCATCCTGTTAATGTCCCATGCCCTAATTTGTGTGGCTGCTAACCTGGGTTTGCAAGGAAAATTCACCAAACACCGTACTAATGATTTTTGCACCTTACTATATTTGCTACACTTTAATTCATTGTTAAAAGTCTTACTAATCACCATTACATCTCTGCTCTTGGGTGAATCCTACAATTCTAGTTGAAGTTGGGACTCAAAGGCTGAAGGTTTGCTGCGCATCTTCTGACTCAAAGTTGTGTGAGCCTTCTCGACTCCCCACCCCCCTCCCTGAAAGCCCAGCCATGCTGCTACACTTGCTTTCTTTCTTTTCTTGTTTTTAAAGATTTATTTATTTATTTATTTATCTATTTATTTATTTATTTATTCATTCATTCATTCATACAAGAACCAGGGTACAAGCCAGATGTGCAGGATGGTGAGAGGATTCACCAGAGACAGAGTGGGGAACAGAACAGGCGAACGGATTGAAATACACTGCTGAGCGGAGCAGCGGGAGAGACAGGAGAGGTCTGTTCGCCATGTGGGTATCTCCAAGGCCGGCGGGGATCACACCGGCACTTCAGAGGCTGCGGACAGCCTCACAGCGCTGCGCCCAACCGCTTTAAACTTTGCAATTGTGCAAAAGATTGGGTCCTGAGGGGAGGCTCCCGTCCTTTGAAACTGTGAGCTAATGAGATGCTATTTGCACATACCAGGGTCCTCAGCTGCTGGAGGCTTCCCTCACACTGCAGGCTGGCAGGAAATGACCAGGGTGGGAAGAGTTAAATTGTAAGATGGCTGGAGATGTGGTAGTTCAAAGCCCTTGCCAATAACTCTTTATTATGTGCAGCATTTTCAAAGCAAAATTACAACATGTTAGAAAGTGAATGAGGCAAATTACTGGTGATGTCATCAAAGTAATAACTGCTAATGAGCATTTGACTCCTGGGGATTGTCTGATGCCACAATGACAGGAACAGCTGATCTGCTTTCTGCGAATCTATTTGGATTATTTACAAGGCATCCTGAAAGTTGTAAAAGCATAATGTAAGAAAATGATAGATCAAAGTTTGAATACAAAACAAGAATGACAGCCAGGAAAATGTACTCTCTTATGAAATGGGCATTTTGACAAGAGCTTGAAGGGCTTTTCCTAAGGGGTGACAAGAAGCACATGTTCAAATGACGACATCCCCCCAAAATTGTTTAAAAAGAAACATAGATGAAATTTAAAACACGTTTTTATTTCCCCAAAGGAATTGGAAAGAGAATAGTCATTAACTGAGAGAATTAATTTTGATGCGACAGACCATGTTTTGGGGACAGGGACACTTAGGCAATGGCCCTTCAGCAGTTTACTTATTGTGTGACAAATGGTGAGGAGCCAAGACTCAGGCTTCTGCTTGTCCTGGCCCCCACTGCACAGCTCTCTGCATTCCACTGTCCATTAGCATCTTCCCCAGAGGGTGAGAAGTACAAAGAAAAGAAATGGAAATACTCGTTAGTCATATAGCTATTTGTAAGAAGCGGCATGGTCAAACAGAGAGAGAAAAGAGTTGCATCAGTGGCCCAAAAGGAAAGAAAAAAACCAGTAAGTGAAAAGATGTTTAAATGTTGGTGGAAAATCATACATATCCTTACATTGAGCTGGACGGTCTTGTTTGCAATTCACAAACTGACTGGTCTGTTTGCTGGCCATGAATACCCTGGCCATGTGGTAGTCTTATGAGGCTGTCTAAAACTCTTAAATGACCAACTAAGGAAACTGGGTAAAATATAATCAACATGTTGCTGCAATATATGGTCAAGAAAGATCCAGAAATGCATAATATGTAGCCTTGGCCAGAGCCATAAATAGGAGTGAAAGCAAGTCACGATGAGTCATGAAGGTCAAGAACATGAAGTCATGAGGGTCAAGGTGGGAACTGACCCTCCCCATTTGAGCTCCTGTTTCAGCTCTCCTGGTCTGAGCATTTCCTATCTCTGTATCTGAGTCTCTTTGTACCCACCAAATATGTAGGATGATTTGAGTTGATAAACGCTGTGTTCCAGCCCAGGCTGAATATTTTGGTGCAGCTGGATCTTGTCTCTCAAATATGAGTAAGCAGAAGAGGAATGTAAAGGGATCGGGGCACTTGAAGGTAGCAGTGATGTGATTCAGATGCATGTCCACTGACTAGGAAACAGATTTCACCTTATTCTCACAAACAGGTGGGGGCAGGCATTTTCCTCCAACAGACACGACCCAGTTCAAATCTGGTGAAGTACAGTTGCTGGCTGCAGCTAGTGGGGAGTACTTTGGGGTGACCGTGTAAAGCTGGGGGTGGCACACTGATGTGCTGAGAAGCAAAGGCGTGTACTACAAGCCAATCTTTGATCATTGCCTAAAACAATAGTTGTGGTCAGAGTCCACCCAGGCTTACCCCATGGAATAATTGCACATTGGGCTCAGCTCAATGGTTTTCCCCGGAGGATTTCTGCAGATGGCTGTCCGAGTTATTGGCTGTCAGGGAGTAGCCTTTCCTGCTGCAGAACGAGGCCTATGATATAAAGGCCCACGGGAGGCAGCAGGCTCCTCTCTTCCTGCTGCAGTGTCTCCTGGTGTGAGCAGTCAGCCAGTGAGCAGGTAACCGAGAGCCAGGTCTGTGCTCAGGTGACTGCAGTATCTGGAAAAAATGTTCCCGGGGGTGAGGAGAGGGCCACAGAACCAGTGACCTGGCTGGTCAGTGGGAGATAATTTGGGCTTAGAGACAAACAAATCATTAAATCAGTTTATTTTGAAACAGGCCAGTCAGAAGCAGCCTCATTCTGGAAGCACAAGGATGGGGCATCTCCCTGGAGACAACGGACACCACATAGGCTGCCAGTGGCTCTGTGACAACTCACCTAAAAGTAAGTCATGACAAAGTGCTGCACAGCTCAGTGAATACACCCACTACCTTGTAATATATCATAGTCCCCACCCCGAAAAGGCGGTTTTAGAGACCGCCATCACTGGATTCAAATCCTACCTCCCCTGGCCCTCTGAGGTCTCAGTGTGCTGGCTTCTCATCTGTGTAAACCAGAATATTGACCTTACTGGGTTGTTGGGACATCAACAAGTGACGTACATGCCCCACTGAGTCTTGGGAGTCAGTGGGCCGTGGTGCTGTTGCCCACAGAACGTCTTCTAGAAATGTGGTTTCAGTATCCCTCCTATTTCTCTCCACCTCTACTGACACACATGCATTAGACCTCATTATCAGTCTCCCAAGTGCCGGCGCAAACTCCTATCTGATCATTCTACCCTAATTCTTGCCACAACCAACCCATTCTTCTCACATTTCCAGGGGAGCAGAATAAACACTGATGCGCTACTCCCTTGACCAACTCAGAAACCCTCACTCCCGCCCCCTGAGCCAGTCTCCAGAGGTCACGTTGATATCTCTCATACGGAAATTCAAGGCACTGTTACGTCCCTCCACATTTCATTTCTAGCCTCGCATAATAAACATTCATGCTGTCCTAGCCACTGCTTCCTATGCAAGGACAACATCAAAGGTCTGCTTGGAATCCACCTTCCAGCCAACTTGCTGCTGCCTATCAATATTCCACTCATAACTTATTCAACAAGCTTCCACTGAATGAGCCGGTGTCATGTGTCCAATGCCTCAGTTCAGAGAACCTGTCCTCTGTAACTGTTCCTTGGTCTTTTCTCTTCTGAGCACTCACTGAAATTGGGACAATTTTGAATTATCATCCAGCTGAACAATATTAATGTCAAGAGTGTTTTGTCCGTCTCCCTGCTGGAGTTGGTACATATATCTTGGAATAACTGCCACCTGGCACAGTATCTGGAACATCACCATTGACTCTTATTGACTGGATCATTTTGAAACTATTTTTATGTGTATGTTTGAAAGAATTATTAGTTTAGCTTCCCTATTCCCTGTTTAGACCTAAAGAAAGTTATTCTCTGGTGCATTGGTAATAATTCTGAGATCTATTGTGCTTCATTTATTGAAAGATCACTCAGAATGGGATTGGAATTTTGTATTTTAATAGCAGGTATAAGACTGGTCCTTCTGAAGTTGGAAGAGATCAGTCCCTATCTACATCTTTTTGAAACAGAGCCAGAACATGGTAGCCATAGAGATGTGGCACCCACATCCCCTGAAGGTCAGAACTTGCCCCCTGAGGCATTCGTAGAGCTACTGGGAGACAGACATCAGTTGTCAACTGTTCAGGGATTGCCTCAGTTGTAGAAAACCGCCTGTCCAAGGTCATGTCCTTCCAACAGTGACTCACATCCAATGACTGATAAAGGCTGGGGCAGAAAGGCCTCATGGAAGTCAAATATGAAGGGTCAAATATTTTATTGGATGAATATTTTATTTAAAGGAAAAGCTCAACTTTTTTCTTTGTCTAATCCTGCCTTTTATACTTCCCATCCATGAGGATTGATTATAGTGTTATCCTAATATGCCCACTAAATGCTCAACTTCCCCATAAAGTTTGTATCCTGGAAAATCCAAACAGTGGATTCATTCAATGCAAGTCTGAATGGGATTTGGGAACTGAACTACTCACCACCCAGCTGGTGGTAATTAGGATACAGTCAGTTGTGGTTGGTGATATATAGGCCTGGCACAGAATGGTATGTGTTTGCTAAAATTCTCACTGGAGGTGAGGAATGCTACCCCAGCAAAGGGGAATGCACTAGCTGGTCCATTTCACCAGGCATGTGAGAAATACGGAGAATATAGAGATTATATAGGCAATGGGACTGTATGACTGATGTTAGACTCTTTGTAAGATTAAATGTGTGCATGTGTGTGTGTAAGGGTGAGTGTGAATAAGTGATTAAAGTCCATGCATGAAAGCCAAGGTCTTCTAGCCAAAGTGGATAAAAAGTCTCCCATTTCCTGCAGTGGAAAGTCAGAGAAAGTTGGAGAGCAGTAACCCAACAACTTCTGTACCATGTTAGCTGAGCTACAAAGAGTAAATGCATAACCAGGGCCTGCTAGTCCTACTGGTAGATTCCAATGGGAAAGAATGGGATCTGGACTCAGGGAATAGAGATGTGTGGGTTGACGAAAATTTTGAATTTGCTGACATCCCTAAATCTCTGAGTCTGCAGAAGTGGCCATCCCCTCCCTACTGAGCCACTGATAGGTCTCTCACCTGCAAGATATCAGCTTCCTCCTCAGGATCTGACCCCTTCCCCTTCAAGCCAGTAACTGACGTTAGCTGCAGCATAGCCCAGAGAGGTATGATAAAGGAGGAAAGAAACTACACTCCACAATAAGCTGCAAGACACACTAACATGGGCCAGCAGGAGCCAGAGGGGCATGTGTGGGATTAGATCAGAAGGTGCTTGGCCAAGGGGCAGAACATTAGAGTAGATAAGGGAGAAATGAGTGATTTGAACCTCTTCCTCTTGATATGTGATATAACATCATCTCTAGACAATGGTGCAAACTGTTCTTAAGGTCATGCAAACAGGTTCCTAGAAACATGGAAAAGGTTAGATACCTAGTGTGAGATCTCAGTGCCAAAATGTCAGAATTGTGGTGTCTGATGGAGGATGGTGTTCAAAGGCATAGGGAGTGGGCAGGTGAACAGGCTGGAAGGGGTGTATAATGTATGAGAAACCCACTTTATGGTTACATTCCATGGGAAATTCCAACAGAAACAAACAATTCACTGGTGAGAAAGCACTAACATCACCAAGAAGTTCATCATGGCTCACTTGTAGCCAGGGTTAGCTGGTAGTGAGGATGAAAGGATCCCCACTAAGGTGAGGTGGTGGCAATTTCTTGTTAAAGTACAGGTAGACACAGTTATTGTAGGAAGTGGTAGCACTGTAGTAGCAAGTAGAAGACCAGAAGACCATACCCACCGAGAGTTACAGAGGAAAATACTAGAACAGTGTCCCTGGAGTGAAAATATATGGAAAGACAATAAGGTCATATTCAACCCGTCTTATCAGACAAGATCAAGGATGAGTAATTTGGAGATTGAAAACAGTTGCCTGCACTCAAAAAAAAAAAAAATGTGGCCCCCTGTATACCTCTGGACTTCAGCCCATTTTGATTTTGGGAACGCATTACCGAAATAGAGGCCAGAAGGTAAGAAGAGCCTGTGTGTATCACCTTGATGAGTTGTCTAGGAGTCTTGACAGTGACTTTCCCAGAGCTTCCCCACAGGAATCAATAGGCATTTAGTGTGGTTACTTTATACTGGAAGAATAGAAAAATCCAATTCACATTGATACCAGAGACCCAAAAATCCATCCTGGCCCCCATCTTGGAGGGGAGCCAAGTACATAGATGGAAACCTGATGAAGAGCCAGCCCAGCCTGGGTCCATGAAGTCTGCTCCCCTTCCCAGACACTGCTGAACCTGCATTTCCCCCCAAACCAAGATAGTAAATCAAAGACAATATTACATCCCATGGAGTGGGCAAACTTTAGCTTCATTCACAACTCTCTGAATGATGCATGGGGAGTTGGCCCTGTCAAATACCCATTTAATTCATCTGTCTCTTGCTAAAACCAGATGACTGGAGGAAGAGAGTACATTAGCAGACTCTACCAAGTGGTGCCCCCAATTGCAAATGCAGCTTCTGTTCCAGAGGGCACCTTTGTCACCGCAGATTCACTTGGTTTCTGTACATGTTTTAAGGCCATTCTTTCCTATCCCATCAGAAGATAAGATTTAAAAGAAGTCTGTATTGACATTCAATCATAGTTTCATCCTTGCACCCCGGGTGACATTAATACCTCTGCTCTCATCACCTTGTTAGTATGGTCTTGTGACATCCCACTGAACACCACATGGGCCAACAACATTGAACATTGGTTAGACCAGAGGAGCAAAAGTGGTCCCTCTCCTTGAAGCTTTTGTAAGATAGGCACATAGCTGAGGGTGGGAGATAAACCTATAAAGATAAATTCATCAGTAAAGTATTTATTATGTCATATAAATATTTAATGTGTTATGTTAAAGGACAAACCAGGATTGGCTCTGTATCAGTTACCTGTAGCTGTCAGAGCACATTTTCATAAAATGGGTGGGTTAAAAACGACAGAAATTTATTTTCTCACAGTTCTGGAGACCAGCTGTCCAGAATTAAGGTGCTGACAGGTTTGTAATTCCTCCAAAATCTCTTAGGGAGATTTCATTTCTCAGCTCCTGCTTGGGTGGCTCCAGGCTCTCCTTGGGTTGTGACTGCATCACGACCATCTCTGTCTCCATGGTTACATTGTCTCCTGCTCTTGCATCTGTCAGATCTCCCATGTGTCTCTGTAAGAACATTTGCCAATGGATTTAGGACACACACACCAGTCGAGGATGATCTCTTCATCCCTAGATCCTTAACTGAATTACTCTGCAAGGAACCTTTTCCCAAAAAGGTGAATATTTACAATTTCTGGGGATTAGAGAGTGGACATGTCTTTTCAAGAATCATTCAACCTAATACACATCCAAATTAAAAGCCAAAAATGTTATGTTTCCTATCATAAGGAGGAAGTGCAGCACCTAGTAGGTCTCTTCACTTTTGGAGACAGCCTGATCCCCACCTGGGGATACCACTGTGGCACCCAAAATGGATAAGATGAGAAGCTGTCAGACTTGAGTAATACTCAGAACAGGAAAGGCACTGTAATAGGTAGGCAGTGGTTCTGGCAACCCTCCCACTTGGGTCATATGATATTAAAGACTTCAATGCTAGAAATACTATGAGGAGCCAATGACAATTACAAGTAAAAGAATTAGAGAAAACCTGTGAAATTCTGGAGCAAGAATCACAGTAGAGTGCACAATGCACACACAGTAGAGAAATAAACGCCTTTTGCAAAGCAATTTGTGGCATGCTGCTCACCCCAGTAAACAGGGAACACCGACTTA